GGGCTGGGTCAAGTGTTAGTAACCACAGCATTTGCCCTTGGATATGTGTTCAATTGTCTTTCCCTCCCTGGTGTACTGATGAAATTTAAAGCACTCTGTGGCAGGTTTGACCAAAGGTTACCCTAGAACAGGGCTTCTTAAACTTTTCCCACTTGTGACCCCTTTCTGTCTGAGAAATCTTTATGTGACTCCAGGTATATAAGTATGTAAAATAGGATAGAAATAAAACATTATTGATAATAAATCAGCATTTGCAAGACTTACTAATATTCTGCAAAGTCCACTGTAAACACTGTACATTATTGCTAACATATGTAAATGGGTGGTGTTCAGAAACCTTTTACTGTTGACAATTTTTTCATGACCCCAACATCGAGCTATGGAGACCCCATTTGAAGTTGGGACCCACAGTTTAAGCAGCAGCACCCTAGACTGCATGTGGAGCTTTATGTATTTTGAGTGTACCAACCCTCTCAGTGACTGCCACCAGATTTCAAAAGAATCCTGAAATGCCTACCTCTGCACATTTCTACATTTTAAAGAAACCATAATGGGATCGCATGTGAGGGCAATCACACACTTCGAAGTCTCCATAAAGTATGATTTGACTCACTGAGAACATGTTGTACATTCACCACAAATCTTGTTTTCTTGCAGAATCATACAATGTTAGAGGTGGGGGAAGCAGGCTACACAGTCCAACCCTCTGCTATGCAGGAATATACAACAAAAGGACTTCTGAAAGATGCCCATCCAACTTCTGTTTAAACACTTCCAAAAGAAAGGGATCCACCACTGTTTGAGACAGTTTATTTTACTGTTAAAGATTCTTACAGTAAGGACATTCTTCCTAGAGTTCAGAAGGAACATATTTTCTTGTAATTTGAATCCACTGATGTATACCCTAGCCTCTTGTCCACCAGATAACAACCAGTTCTACCTTGTACATTACATCTTGTCAGTTATTTGAAGATCATATGACCTCTTGGTCCTCTCTTCACCAATCCATATATCCAAAATTATTTCTCGTTGGATTTGTTTTTTAGACCTTTGATCATCTTGGTCACTTTTCTCTGGTCACATTTCAGCTTATCAATATCCTTCTTGAATTATGGTGCCAAGAACTGGACAGAATATTTCAGATGTCTGACCAAAGTATAATAGAATGGCATTATTACTTCACTTGATCTGGACACTTTATTCCTACTGAGGCGACCCAGAATTGCATTGATGTTTTTTTTTTCTTTTGAGCTGGCACATTGCACAGTTGACTAATGTTCAACGTGCCTCCTACTAAGATGCTTAGTTCCTCTTTCCATACACTGCTTTCAAACCAAGTGTCACCCATACTACATTTATGCATTTCAGTTTTTTTGCACAAATGTAGTACCTTATATTTATTCCTTTTGAATTTCCTTCTGTTCATTTTGGCCTAACAATTCATCCATCAAAATGATTTGAAATTCTGATTCTGTCATTTGATTCTGTCATCTGAGGTATTTCCCTACCACCACCGCCCCCACAAATTGCTGAGATCTGCAAAGTGGATAAGCATGCCTTTATCATCAATGTCATTCATAAATATGTGGGTGTTTTTTGCCATATAATTTTTATTGCAAAGATATGAGGAATGGGGAAGGGATACAAGAGTGGATATAGAACAGGGGCTTTTTAAACATGTTGCATCTTTGTCTTCTTCCATTGCTATCAAATACAAAAAGGGTTTCTATGATGTTAATAAAAGAGAAAAAAATAAATGTATTTTCTAATCTAAAACAGAAGGATAGAAAAGTGGGTGTACAGTGTTTTGAAACAATGGAGATTGAAAAGTTGAGAAACAGAAAATTGGAATCCCTAACTAATGCTTCCTATCCTGTCTCTGCTCTATTCTTCATTATCAAAAAAAATCTACCCTTTTTGTCATAAATCTTCTTGTCTCTGGTAGATTAACTTTCCAGTATCCCTTAAATATAATTGGGGATCCTGTTATTCTTGTCACTAACATCTCAATTTTTTTATTTTCTTGTAATTCCTGCATTTCTGCACTACTAATTTTCCCTTAATGCTGAACCCCCCCCCCCCCAATTCTTTCAATTTTCCTTCTTTTAAATAGTAAAAAGGCTGCCATTCTTTTCCAATGTGGAAGGATCTGGCGATTGTATAAGCCTAGTCAGTTTGTCTGTCTCTGTCATGTCCAACACTTTTGTAATCTATACATCTGGGGTGGGAAATTCTTCTTGTTTCCAATAGTAAGCATAAACAATCCTTGCTGCAGTCACCATGTATAGAAATAGTATCAGAATTCTTTTTGGTAGTGTTGAATTTGTAAGGACCAACAGAAAAGCTGATGGTTCTAGTGATGAGCTGGGCTGGGGCTTTAGCACAGATGATAAATCACCACCAATGATAAGATCAACCAACCAAAAGGTTGCCAGTTTGAAGCTCTGGGATGACGTGAGCTGCTGACTATTAAGCCCAGCTTACTGTTGATCTAGGCAGTTCGAAAACAGTTTGTACTGTAATTAGAGAAATTAGGTACTGCTAAAACAAGTGGGTGGGGGGGGGGGCAGTATTTTATGACACCATAAAAGAAAAAGATCAGAGAATGCTAGGGACCAGGAGGAAGGAGAAAGTCCTGGTGACTTTTCGTCATAGAGGATGGAGAAACAGCACCCCCCTGGGGCCAGATTTCGAGCACAACCTTCCAAGGTGCTGATGACAACACAACACACCTCCTTCTGTTCTGTCTATCTCTGTATTGTCTGTCCCAAAATGGCATTAAATGTTTGCCTTGTATGTGTACTCTGATCCACCCTGAGTCCCCTTAGGAAGATATGGCAGAATTTAAATAAAGTGTTGTTGTTGTTGTTGTTGTTGTTGTTATATAGTACTTCAATTTTTAAAATGTTTTCAATGTTCTTATGAAGTGTAATCTTTTTGTTTTTGTTTTAGGACATGTCCACCATATATGGTAAAAAGTTCCTTCTTTTTGATGATATTTCCAACAAACAATTTTGCTAATCTTTCCAGCGTCATGTACCATCTATAAATTTGTATCATCCATAAATATGTTAAATAACACAAGGCCCATGGGAAAATTATCAAGGTCTGCAGCCTTTCTTCCAAAGCACGGTCAGAGGCAATCTGAGATTCAAGTTGTAGTCTGTCCAAGAAAAAGGGGCAAGCAAAGCAAAACCCAATGTTGTTCCAGAAGGTCAAATACACAGAGACTCACCAAAAAGTCCAAGTCCAAAATCCAAAGAGCATGGTCTGAGGTTCAAGGCACATGGTAACCAAAGATTTTCCAGCAGTGAGCTGTTACAAATGCCAGCCCTTTATGCTGCTCCTTTTTGCTGTTATAAGGAAGAGCACTCCTCCCCATCTTCCTCATCTTGCCCCAAGATCCTGACAGAAATGCACTTTTCTCCAAGATGAAGAGCAACCACTGATGAACACCCTCTGGATTTGGTAGGTCAGCCAATTACAGATTCACCTAACAATAGCACAATCTAGCACACAGTTTACAAGTTTGCCTGCAAGAATATTATGGATATGAAGTTATGCATAGTGTGAAGAAAGAGGCAATCTGTCTCCTAGCTTTCAAGGGTCATCCATCCACTAAAGGGCAAATGATTTAGGGTAGATAAAAGGAAGAAAAGCAGTAATTAAAGACTTGAGATACTTTTTAAATTCACAGATTGTCTTAAGACTCAGTTAAAATATGTCTGAGCCCTTTCCAGTTCTAGTGCTAAACACACACACACATCCAATTCCTAGAACTTGGATATTTTACTATTTCTATCCCTTTTGTCTCAAGCTTGATTTGGTAGATCCCAGGATTCCAGTAGACCACATCAAAGTAGATCCCATCAGTCTGAGATTTATTTATTATATGGCATGTACAGAATCATATAATGCAGTTCAGTGCAGTTAAACTGCATTATATGAGTCCACACTGGCCATGTAATGCAGTTTCAAACTACCTCATATGATAGTGTAGATGGGACCCCAGTTAAAGAGAATGGGTAGGTGTGGCATGGGAAGAAATGGTGGTCTGAAGCATGGGGTGAAAAGAGCAACAGATAACTGATAGCACATAGTGTGTGATCTCGTTTCATGGATTTGATCTTAAAAGCTAAGCAAGATGTGATCTAGTCAGGAATGCTATGAATTGTAGACTATATTTCACAGGAAGGCCACTGTTTATCTCCAATTAAACACTATTTATAGATAAATCAGTGTTAGAATCAAAATCTTTAAAGGAAACATCTGTCAAGGGGAAATATCCAGTGCTCTCCCTATGCATATTTTCTGGTACTTCAAGAGTCTGCAGTCAAATAAAGCACAACAAACAGAATTTCAGAATCTTTAGTCATGGAAATTAGTGTTCCCATTTGAGTACATCCCCATACTGCTTATGTGGCAGATGTTGGCCAGCTTCTGCCCTCATTGGTATTCCATATTCATCAACTGACCTTTTTGCATTAGCAGATGAGACAGATCTATAGTCTTTTAGAATAATAAGAAATGTTGCCATTTCGGTTAATTTTAAAAGAAGGCAGAACTTGGCTCACGTTCTCAAAGCATCCCTTGTATCTCATGGAAATGAGCTACCTACACATTTAAGGTCCAAAGTTCCAACATTCTTGCGTCAATTACTGTTTTACAAAGCTGAGCTGTTCGGGACATAAATGCAGAGGAAAACAAGGTCATTCTAAATAGGAGGCTCTCAAAAGTGCCAAAAGGTCATTATGTACTTGCAACAAAGCCTTAATTAAAAGCGTGCCATTTCCCTTGTAGATGTCAATAGCATCAAGGCACTCGTTAACACATCTTTACTGAAGTGTGCTGCTATAAATAATCAGAGCTGTTGATTTCACATTTGCAACTATGGAGCGTGATAATTGTCGGATCAAAAATGGCTGATAAAAATTAATCAACGTGGATTTTACCTCCTGAGCTAAGAACTCAATAATTAAAAGAGTTGTTTTGTCAGCCCAGCCGCATGGTAGCTACTCTTTTTTGTTCAGCACAAAAAAGAAATGATGCATAGGTGCATAAAGTGGCAAAGTTGTGGGGTTTCTGTCTTAGATGTCACAAATGGTAGGGTATTCTGTGTACCCAAGCACAGTGGGATGTATATTTTTCAACTCAACACTCAGAGCAAAGTATGGAAGAAATTAGTTAAAACAGATAGTTGTTTGTAACTGATGGCCTTTTTCAGTAACTAAGGCATACCCAAATTAATGTGGTAACTTTAAAAGGGAATAACTTCACTCTTAATGCAGCTTCTAACTTTTCAAGGTGTTGTTCCAGAGATACTGGGTCTCAGAGTTTCAGATGGTCCCATGGCACAGGCCAAGCTTTCCAGGCACCTTGCATCCCAAGGCCCCACTAGAAACAGGTATGAAAACAGGCTGCTCATGGTGAACCTGCAAAAATAATACCAAGCAATGATGACATTGCACACAGACTCTGGACTAAAATGATGCATGTAACTCCCTTCTGATTGTGCTGAGTAGAGCTTATTCCCAAGTAGATGTGCACAGAATGAATGATAGCCTTGGTTTTCAAAGGATTTCATGGCTGGAATCACTGGGTTGCTGTGCGTTTTCTGGGCTGTATGGCTATGTTCCAGAACATTCTCTCCTGACGTTTCACCCACATCTCTGGCAGGCATCCTCAGAGCTTGTGAGATCTGTTGGAAACTAGACAAGTGGGGTTTATATATCTCCTCCTTCCTCCTCTCTGCCTTTATTACCTTTATTACACTTGGAGCTAGGAGCCCTGGTGGCGCAATGGGTTAAGCACCTCATCTACATTGTCATAGGAAATCCAGATTATTTCCTTTGAACTGGATTATATGGCAGTGTAGATTAATACAATCCAGTTCAAAGCAGATAATCTGGATTTTATATGGAAGTATAGATGGTACCTTGGTCTCATGTTATTTGTTAATTTTAAAGGGAAATTCTGCCTATATACCTTATTCTGCCGTGTTGGCCAGTTACATTGGATCAGGATCCCTATTCATGCTACTTTTCTCTACTAGTATGGGAACACGGAGCAAGAAATCCAAATTGTAGGGGAAAAGATCCCACCTGAACATTTGGAAGAACTTCTTGTTGGTAAGAACTATTTGATGTAGAATATGCTGCTGCCTTGCAGTGGGATGGAGTTCCTTCTCTGGAGATTTTTAAGCTTCTTCCAGGGGTGCTTTGATTGTGTATTCCTGCTTGGCAGAAGGAGATTGGACTAGATGGGCCTTATGCTCTCTTCCGACTCTGATTCTAAAGCAAGAAGAAGATAGATAGGAGAAATAGCATTTAGATGTATGTGTTTTTAAAATAACAATCTAATTGCTTTCAATGACTTCTATATATTATAGCTATAGTGATAGCTATCAACATCCCCCAAGGAACTATAACAGTAGTGTGTTACTGGGTTGCTGTGAGTTTTCCAGGCTGTATGGTCATGTTCCAGAAGCATTCCCTCCTGCTTTTTATGTGTTACTTTTTAAAAAGTACCTTTCTAAGCTCTGGTTCATACATCCTTTACCCAACTTCAGTTGCTGGACCAGTTGTGCCTCTTTTTGAAGAGTGTAATATTTGTTCTAGGTTAGAGTTCTGTTGATGTTTTAAAAGCATTCAGGGATTGCTTTTATACCACGCATCAGCCGTCAGCCTCTGGATGGTCACTACTCACTGATAACATATTTAATGCTGTTAAAATGAAACAGCAATGGCACCACATAAATCTGCTACAAAATGACTAGAAGCAACAGTAATAGTCGTAATATAATGAAGCAATGACTGATCTTTAGCTGTCAAGACTGACATCCTGTTGGGCTGAACTTTGGGGGTACTACTTTTGGATGTAGCTGACTTAATGGGGCGGCAAAGCAGCCTTGTAGGGAAACTATCGGCTGCCTCACAATTAACAAAGATTGTGAATGTACAGTCTGTTCTCAGGTGTATAATGCAGTGTTTTGACTGTTTTGAAAGTATCTCTGAGCCAAGACCTTTTCCTGAAAATTACCTCAGAAGAATGGTCTGGATCAGGCATGGGCAAACTTTGGCCCTCCAGGTGTTTTGGACTTCAAAACTGAAATCCAAAACACCTGGAGGGCCAAAGTTTGCCCATGCCTAGTCTGGAAACTGTAAATAAAAAAAAGTATTAGCTTCTAGTTTTAAAAAATCAGTTCATACACCAGGGCAACCAAAGTCTTATAAATAAGGTTAAATGGCTATAAAGTAGATTAGATAAACATAGGGAGAAGTTTAGCTACAGTTGTTAGACACAATATCCAAACTGAGCTTCTAGATATAGAAGAATATCAGATGCCAAGACTACAACCTTTATGCTCTACTTATGAGCTCCCAGGGGCAGCTGGATGTCAGCAAACTGAACTAAATGGGATTTAATTTAAATTGGGTTGCTCATGTGAGATAAGGAAAAAACCTAGCCTCATAAATGTAATTCTGGTTTATATAGTAGACAATAACATATGAGTCACTAAGAGTAAAGAAGTTTTGCCTGTGCAGATATTCTGACATAGACCTTCTACAGTCCTTTACAAACATTGGTCTGAGCTTCTGGGAACTAAAGTCCAAAACATTTGGAGGGCCAAACTTCCCCCAGTCCAAACCAAAGGAAGAAAGAACCATATTTAATTCTTGTGCAAAGGTGAGTATAGTTGTTTTTTCTCATCTGGGAAGGTAAGTCACGATGAATCATAAACCAAAAGCTTGTTTTCTCTCTAACGTTGACACATCCTTGAAATACACAACCCAGGTGTGAAATAGTTGGTGATGGCTGATATCAAAATAGAAACACATTTCTATGAAGCAGTTTTTAAAAAGCCAAAGGTTAACTTTAAACAAATTTATTAAATTACAGCTTGCCATCTGTTTTCTCACACTCAATAAAACAATCGTAAACATTCTCAGCATGTGCGGTACAGATTTCAAAAGGAGTAGAAATTGTATTCTTGTGCTTTCCACCACTCAATCATTAACTATTGCTACATCACTTTGGGAAAAACATAATTTGAATTAAACAAAACATCATCCAGGTTTTGATAATGCTGGAATAATAAGAGAGGATGCAGATGAAACTACTGGGAAATCCAGATGGGTGGTAATAGTGGAACTTTCCTGGGATGATGCAGTTTGCTCTGAAGTGAACCAGCTGATGTGTGTATCCTTCCATGGTGTCCCAGCATGTTTCCTGTCCTTGATTGTCATCCTCCCCGCAAACATTTGACATATTCTAATCAGTGGATTTGTAGACAACAGTCATGCCCGCCCCCCTTTTTGGATACAATTCCCATCTCCTTTTTCCCCATTTGCATGTGGTAAGAGGATATTCTCCAGTGCACTGGTCTCGATGTTGGAGAAGGACTCTGGAGACTGGGGTTCATATCTCAGCTCAGGGAACTCACTGGGTGACCTTGGGCCACTCACACTCCCTCAACCTCAGAAGAAGACAATGGCAAACTCCTGTGAAAAAACATTGCCAAGAAACCCCTGCAATTGGTTCACTTTAGTGTCACCATAAACCATAAATTACTTGAAGGCATACAAATGCAACAACGGTGTTGGGGGTATTTATGATGATATGATTGTGGGCGGCTCCTTTCTCTCTTTTCCCATTTTAATTTCCAGTGGCCACCCAAGTGTGAGTTCCTCTGCTGACTGTGTTTGGTAATGATAAGTTCATTTCTCTCTTTGCTATTCTCACACTAATTCTTGATCATCTTGATCATGGGGTAGTCTGAAGTTCACGCCCTCAGTGACATTCCAAGCTTATACAAGGGCTATGTGTGTTCTTCTAGATTTTTTTTTTGGGGGGGAGGCTATTTTCCAATGTATCTTGCTCCATACACCTATTTCCCCTCCAGACCCCCAGACCCCTCCTTGTCAGTTAACTGGCACACTGCGTTTTGTTGTTAGCTGCTGTCAGGTTGACCCAGACTTATTGCAGTACTATGAATAAGAGACCTCCAAGTCACCTTATCATCAGATCTTGCAGAGTCCCGACAGCGATGGCTTCTCTGATTGAATCTATCCTCCAGGAATGTGGCCTTCCTCTTTTCCTAATGCTTTATACCTTACTGAGCATTATCATCTTTTTTTTAAAGCGAGCCATGCCATTTCCTGATATGGCCAAAGAACAACAGTTTCAGTTTAGTCATCTTGGCTCTAATCACCACTTATTTTTTCTTTTCACCAGTCCATGGTGTCCACATTGCTGTTACCTCTCAGCTGTGCACTTCTGTCTATATTGTGTGTAGGGAATTTGTGGTTTTTACCATCATCATAGGCAATCCCTCGTGGTTGAGTATGATTGTCTTCCAAGGGTAGAGTCTTGGTGTGGGTCCATAAATGACTGTAGAGACCGATTCTGGATTGGCGTGGTTTTTCACAATGAGGACATTGATTTCCAGATGGATGGTGGTCACAATAAAGGTTTGCTTGATGTGTCTTCATTTTGACATGTTTTTCCCTTTCATCCTCCATGCTTGCCTCTTCAAAATCCATAGCGCTGTTGGTAACAGTTTACCTCCAGTTACATCACTCATGGGCAAGGGATTCTGAGTTTTTTGTGTTTGTTGCACATGTTTTCAGGTTAGCTTTCAGCCCATCATTTATTCTCTGTTGTTGTCCACATTTCTTAGCAAAAGCTGTGTAGGTGATGCACTTTGAAACCCATAAACTAGCCTCCTGCCCCTAGGCACTCTTGACGATGCTGTCCTCCCATCAGTATTGAACTTAGACTTGTTGCTTTTGTATATAGTGCAATAAGATAGAAGACATATGTGGATGTGTAGGTGTGTGTGTAAACACACATATAGTGTCCTTTTGTCACATGAGCAGAATGACTTGTGGAGAATGCTCCATACAGGCTGTGTATTCAGAAGCAACTGTGTCAAAACCTACAAAATAGCAATCCTTTTATTGGGATTTATGCTCCAAAGCATAAAATACATCAAGAAGACTTCTGAACCTCCACTGGCTTCTAAATCAGGCAAAAGTGTTAAAACACAGGAGAAGAAAAGTGGTGACATGAGAGTCATGTTTCTTCTCTTGCTAGGCCAACTTAGCTGACAACAAAAGTAACAACAGAAGCAAAATTGTTGGCCTGTGACTCGTAATTTTTCTATTCCTGTAGGATTTCAAGCATTTTTGTCTGATGCCATCAAAGAACCCACCAGTTCCGAAAGCCTGCACAATGCATTTTATGCAGGGTCAGGAGATGTATCTTTGTTGAATTGATTTTGGACTTTTTGTTATCACACCAGTGGGTGCCCTCTTTGCAACTGAGCACCTCCTCTGTGCTCTGAAGGGCCCACGACTCCCACTGTGGATGCTGGACAGAGGACAAAGCAATTTCACTGTGTGGATGACTACATGTGAGGTCCTGGGACCAGTTCAAGGCCAGAATGATGCTTATTCGCCCTGGAGAGTTTGGCTCTCACTTGGTTCCAGGATCTGCTGTGTCCGCAGCTTCATGGCCATGAAAGATCTGTTTTTGTTTTCACCTCCCTCCATTGCAATGAACGTTTTTGGATTGTGGGAGCACCTTTCCCTTCATCGGTTTCACCATGAGGTTCACACTTAGGAATGCTGATGTGGATTATGGGCTCTGTTTTGAAGTATTCCTCAGTTCATGGCATGTGTCATCTAAACGTCATCAAACTATCTTCAAACTACATTAAGTGGTCAGTCTAGATGTGCTCAGCTCACAGATACTATGGAAGATCCAAGACAAAGCCAACCTCTCTGGGGTGTATAATAAGTACCACCAAGGCCTTTACCTGGTTTCTGCGCTTGACCCTGTGATCAGAAACATTTTTTGCTTCACTTCCTCCTTTGAACACCTTTTTCCCACTTTCTATGGGGTGCATCTTTGCCCCTCCAGGTGTTTTGGACTTCAGCTCCCAGAAATCAAGCCAGCTTTGTGGGACTTGAAGTCTAAAGCACCCAGAACGTTGAAGTTTGACCATGCCTGCTCTACACTGTGGAATGAAGATAGTTTGGCACTACTTTAACTGCCATGGGTCCATGATATGGAATCTTAGAAGTCGTCGTTTTTCAAGAGTGCAGGTGCCTCACCAGACTACAACACCCATAATTTCATAGCATGAAGCCAGGGCAGTTTTTTTGTGTGTGTCAGGAGCGAATTGTGAAACTGCAAGTCACTTCTGGTGTGAGAGAACTGGCTGTCTGCAAGGATGCTGCCCAGGGGACTCCCGGATGTTTCGATGCTTTACCATCCTTGTGGGAGGCTTCTCTCAAGTCCCCGCGTGGGGAGCTGGAGAGGGAGCTCAACCCACTCTCCCCAGATTCCAACTGCTGACCTGTCAATCAGCAGTCCTGCAGGCACAAGGGTTTAACCCATTGCACCAACTGGGGCTCTAGGCAGGGCAGTTAAAGTGGTGTCAAACTGCATTCATTCTATAGCAGGCATGGGCAAACTTGGGCCCTTCAGGTGTTTGGGACTCCAACTCCCACAATTCCTAACAGCCTGGAGGGCTGAAGTTTGCCCATGCCTGTTCTACAGCCTAGATGCAGCCAGGCGCTGTGTAGTTGTGCCCCAGGCCTGTAGCAAGGGGGTGGTTTTAGGGTTTTCACCCCCCCCGAAATGTTTCAGATTTTTTTAAAAACCCTGTTTACTCATGAATTTTAACTGGTTAACCAAATCCCCATGCTAAGTCTATGAGATGCAAAAAATTAAGAGTCCCTCCAGAACTGCAAGCACTATCTCAAGCAAATATTGACAATTTATTCACACTGTCATTACTTGCAGCAGTAGCCGATGTAGTGAAGCAACCAAGTTGGGGTGTGTGTGTTGAATGCTCTCATTAAGGAGGCCAGACTTGGTGGAGGTGGTTGACAGGGGCGGAGCTGCAGGCTACTGAAGGTTGCTCTGCCCCCTGCTGTGCTCTTTGCTTCAGCGTGAGCTAGGAGGAAGGTTTCAACCCCCCCCCTAAAATTTCAACCCCTCCCGAATTTTTTTCTGGCTAGGGCCCTGGTGCCCTATGTTGTATTGATTTCGGATTTTGCTTTATCAAATGGCTGGTAGCTCCCTGTCCCTAAGAGAGGTCAGGGCTCAACCTACCCATTCCCAATTTGAGGAGGATGAGCTTTGGGAACCGGGGAGCCTTGCAGCTGCTGCTCATCACTGTGGAGCTCCCACCCACAGGCTCAGCAGACTGTGGGTGGGAAACCAGCACTGCTCTTTGGCTGGATCTAGTTCGAATTGTATTAGATGGCTCTACTACACTGACTGGGGCCCGCGGTGACGCAGCGGGTTAAACCGCTAAGCTGCAGAACTTGCTGACCGGAAGGTCGTCGGGGTTAGAAATGGAGAGGAGCACCACCCCCCAGAGGTGGACTCGGCTGGACTTCATGTCAAGGGGAAACCTTTACCTTTACACTTTATTTTTCCGTGTCAGGAGCGACTTGGTGTGAGAGAATTGGCCGTCTGCAAGGAAGGAGTTGCCCAAGGGACGCCAGGATGTTTTGATGTTTTACCATCCTTGTGGGAGGCTTCTCTCATGTCCCCGCATGGGGAGCTGGAGCTGACAGAGGGCGCTCATCCCCATTCTCCACGGATTCAAACCTCCGACCTGTCAGTCTTCAGTCCTGCCGGCACAAGGGTTTAACCCATTGCGCTCCAACTTGAACACTGACTGGCAAGATTATGCAGCTCCAATGCATTGTGGAGGCTCCTCTCTCACCACTGCTGTGGGCATTCCGCCGCTGGCGCATTGGCCACGTGCGCCCTGCAACGCGTCACCCTTCTATGTAAACAAGGGGGCGGGGCTGTGCCCAACGATGCCACGCCCCCTCCCTCCCTTTCTGGGAAAGTCAGGAGTCCCCCCTCCCTTCCCTTTTCCTCGTGGGAGGGAGAGTAGGAGGGAAGCCCTGCGGAGGAGGAAACTTCTTCACCTCCTTCCCGGCTCACTCTCTATATCTTAAGAGGACTCCAGTCCGGCCAGGAAGGGCTCGCTTCTTCCCATCCCATCCTCCGGTCCTGACCGTAGCAAGGCGCTTCCTAAGTGCGCCAGTCTCTGAGCGGACGTGCTGCGTTTCACCAGGAGAGCTCCACTGGGCAGGGGAACGACGGGAGTGGAGACCCACGTGGAGGAGGAGGGGGAGGCGGAAGAGGAGGAGGAGAAGCCGGTCGCTGCAGCGGATCCCTGGGCGSCCGGCACTGGGAGCGAGTCCTCTCTCTCTGTCTCTCCTTCTCCCTCTCTGCCCCCCCCCCCCTCCTTCCAAGGCTTTGCCCTTGAGGAGGAGTTCCTTTCCCGGCCTGGAGAAGCAGAGGGAGCCGCGGAGGAGGAGAAGGAGTGAAAGGGGCGGCAGAGGTTGCTGAGCCGGGGAGAAGCGCACTTGCCTCTCTCTCTCCCGAGACTTTTGCAAGGTCATCATCCCTGGAGGGAGAAGAGGAGGAGGAAGAGAAGAGGAGGAGAACTCTTCGCTCTCTTGGCTTCTTCTCTTTCTGTGAGATTTTGCCTCTCCTCCTCCTCCTCCTCCTCCACCCGGATGGGCCCTTGACCGACCCGCAGCAGCAACAGTCTTCTTCGGAGCGGYTCYCTCCCTTCTCGGCCTCTTCCCGGGCGAGGGGCCCCTCCGCCGTCTCCCCATGAGGCCCCTGGGCTTCGCGGGGCGGCGGGGCTCCGAAGAGGGGCCCCCATGAGCAAGCGGAGGCGGCGGAGGAGGAAGAAGAGGAAGAAAAAGAAGAGCGGCTGCCTCCTCTGCTCCCAGCGCCACGGGGAGGAGGATGCCGAGCCAGGCGGGACGAGGAGGAGGAGGAGGAGGAGCGGAGGGGCGGCCTCGGGGGCCCCTTCGGGCAGGACTTAGCCGACCCCTCGGCACCACACACTCGCACTGAGAGAGGCACGCAGAGGGAAGACGTTTGGGGGGCCAGACTCGTCCTGGATTGGGCCCCCCGCACAAGGCTTCGATTGGCGCGCGCTCGGGAAAGAACTTGGCTCCCCCAGGCCGAGCGTTTGGCACACCCTGGATATTATTGATCCCGTCCCCACAGGGAAAATATATACCAACTCGGCCGGGTAGCTTGGCCAAGCCTGGGTCTTGCTGGTGTGCCCTCAACGACGCGCGTGAGAGGACTTGAAGCGCCCGCCTCACCCCACGAGGACGGCTTGGAATAGTGGGTTTCCTTCCTCGCGCCCTTCAAGCCCGCCCGCCTTTTTCTCTGAGGGGAGCTTTCCCTCAAGACAGAGCTACACACAGAGAGATTGTCGATCAATACATATATTGGTGTATACAAGAACTTGGGCAGGAAGAGGGGAGGGCTTTCATTGCCAAGCCTGGATTGTTTTGGATAGAGATATTGGTGAATCCAACTTGACTTCAGCACGGAGAAGCTGATAGATAGATATATTGATCTATCTATCAATACCTATATTGGTCTGTTAAAGAACTTGGGCAGGAAGAGGGGAGAGCTTGACCTGGATTGTATTGGATAGAGATATTGGTGAACTCAACTTGACTTCAGCACGGAGAAGCTTTCCCTCAAGACAGATATATAGATATAGATAGATACATTGATCTATCAATCAATACCTATATTGGTCTATTAAAGAACTTGGGCAGGAAGAGGGGAGAGCTTTCATTGCCAAGCCTGGATTGCTTTGGATAGAGATATTGGTGAAGTCGACTTGACTTCAGCTTTCCCTCAAGGCAGATATATAGATATAGATAGATATATTGAAGTGGTCTATTAAAGAACTTGATCAGGAAGAGGGGAGAGCTTGACCTGGATTGTTTTGGATAGAGATATTGGTGAACTCAACTTGACTTCAGCACAGAGAAGCTTTCCCTCAAGACAGAAATAGATATAGATACATTAATCTATCTATCAATACATATATTGGTCTATTAAAGAACTTGGGCAGGAAGAGAGGAGGGCTTTCATTGCCAAGCCTGGATTGTTTTGGAGAGAGATATTGGTGAACTCGACTTCAGCACAGAGAAGGCAGAAGTTTGACCAAGATTGTGTATCCCCTCAACAACAACAACAACAACAACATCTCTTTTGATTTGTGTCCCTTCAACGACGTGTCTTTATTTCCACAACTTGGCCGGAGAGCTGAACAGAGAGGGCAGAGGTTTGGCCAAGGCTGGGGACTGATCCCTCAAAGGAGGTGGATACTGAAGGACTCGAAGCGCCTTGGGAGTTGGGTGGCCATGGCAGCAGCAGGAGCAAGGAAGCCCTTCCCGCCTTTTTCTCCTCGCCTTGACTGAGAGCAATCCACGCACGAGAAGTCCCTTCCTTCCCCTCAGAGTCACAGGAGCGGCCGCCTTTGGGAAAGTTTCCCCCTTCTCTCCCTCCGCCCGAAAGAGGAGAGGCAAAGGAAGGAAGGAGGGAGGGAGGGAGGGAGGAGTGTGTCCTCGGGCTGCCCAGCATGGGAGACGGCTCTCCGCCGGAGCCCAGCCGAGCCAGCCACCCCTCTCCCGCCGTGGCCGCCTCCGCAGAAGCCGAAGCCATCGAGGTCCTGGGCGCCGAGGATGGGCTGCCCATGGCTGCTGAGGACGTAAGTGGCCCTCCTCTCCCGCCTTCCCGCCCTCCTTTCCCTCTCCGGCTCCCCGGTAGACTTTAATCGGATCAAGCTATTTAAAAATAAACTTTGGTATTAAAAGTGCGGGTGGGGAAGGGAGGGAGGAACGAGGAAGCCGGGAGGAGAGGCTCCAGTCTTTCGAGGAAGAGAAAGGGCTTCCCCTTCAGGGGCTTCCCTCCAGAGCCTTCCTCTCAGAAGTCAACTCCGTTGAGTTTCACTGGCTCTTCTTCTAGGAAGTAGACATGGGTGCATTGCAGTTTGACCTCACTTTAACTGCTATGGAAATCATCTATATAAATAAAAATGTAATGTTCATTTGTTGGATTGACATAACTCAAAAACCACTGGACGAATTGACCCAAAATTTGGACACTACACCCCTAATAGACCAACAAGCGACCATCACTCATAAATCCCTCCCAAAATAACAGCGGAGAGGACTTAAAAACCTCCAAAAACTAAGTGATGATACAGCACATGCAGGAAAACGACAGCTCCCAGCATCTCCTCGACCAGGTCCTTTAGGGGAGGAGGATGTTCCAAATGCACTGCTTCCAAGCTGCAAGCTTGCTTCTCCTTGGATTTCTTTGAGAGCATCCCAATCCCTGCATATTTCCTATTCTCTACCTCTTTCCTTCCTTCCCCTCCCCTTTTCTTTCTTTTCTTCCTTCTCTATCTATTCTTGGACTGTAACTCCCAGCAATCCTCCAGATAGATAAGATATACAGATTAGATAGAGATAGATAGTAGGTAGACACATCATAGAATCATAGAGTTGGAAGAGACCTCATGGGCCATCCAGTCCAACCCCCTGCCAAGAAGCAGGAATATTGCATTTAAAGCACCCCCCACAGATGACCATCCAGTCTCTGTTTAAAAACCTCCAAAACCTGAGGCAGAAAGTGTGGTGGAGGCTCCTTCTTTGGAGGACTGCTGGGAGTCACAGTCCAAGAATAGATAGAGAAGGAAGAAAAAGAAAGAAAGAAAAAGCAAGGAGAAGGAAGGAAAGAGGTAGACAAGGAAGAAAGAAAGGAGAGATGGAAAGAGAGAGAGGGAAGGAGAGAAAAAAAGAGGGAGAAAAGATTGGCCATAGCAATACGTGGCAGGTACAACTAGTTGGAGATATAGTTGTAGCTTTGGGTTGCTGTGATTTTTCTGGGAAAGAGAAGGGAATATCGAGGTGCCCCAATAAATAGCTCCTGCTTGCAAATCCTACTCAGATGCAAAGCACATTGGATGAAAGGAAATCCACATTATAGAGTGAATGCAGTTTGACAGAGTCATGGGAGTTGTGGCTTTACAAGGTATTTAGCCTTGTCTGCTTATGAGGGCTGGTGCCTCGCCAAACTACAGCCCCCAGGATTGCATAGAATTGATCCATGGCAGTTAGAGCTGTATCAAATTGCATTTATTCTACAGTGTAGGTGCACCCCTAGACCCAAAACTGTTGCCCACAAGGTTGGCATGAGGATAAAATGGATTATTGTGGAAGGGTTTGATAAGAATGTAAAATTAAAAAATCTAGTAGCAACATAGAGGGAAAGGCTTTAGTTATTGTTCAGGCTCTCTTCACTGCTGACTTCTAATTTCTTTCCACTACTTTGCCACTCTGCCGCCTTCTTTTGAACACTGGCTTTTTGCTGTGCGCTGCAGTGGCGCATAAGTGTCCTTAGCCTACCACCCACTTCCTGACGTAGTTGTGCCGACACGTGGGAGGTAATTTGTGGTAAGGCGCTACGTAGTCTATCTGCAATGACTTGGTTTATAGTTGAATGTGTCCCAAGTGTAGAAATGCCCCCATTCAATGTCTGTCAGCTCCTGGGAGCTTTCAGTCTGTTCCCTTTCCACAAAATACTGCTTGACTTTTACTGCAAGCTATATGGATACATAATTGTCATTGGCTCATCCCTCTTCATATTTGTACCCTTCAGTGCTTTTTAAATGGCTAGCGATGATGGAAGGATTTTGTGCTTACCCTTTGGTACGTGTGTAAATTGCCACACTGACAATAATGTGAGTTAGGGGAGGGGGATTTGTTTTAAGCAGAGAGATTTTTGTGAGATCTACTGCTTTTTCTAGTCACTTCAAGCAATGGTTTTGCAAGAATACATACTTGGATCTGAATCTCTCAGTCCATTTGGGATGTGAACACATGTACTTTCATTTTCATTAAGTGTGGTTACAATACTTTAAACGTGAACCTCCAGCCTTGCTAAGCTGCCTAACTTAGTTGTAAGCCCTAATCTCTAAAGATTCTTAAACAGTGAACCTTATTAGTTCACCAGTACAGCCATCTTCCTCAGAGGATGTTTCTCTCCATCCGGCTGTGTGGCAGAAGGGAGCGGGTGGGGTTGCTCTTAGCCCAGAGCTGCTGCAAGATTTAATCACAAAATGACAACAAGAGTGCCTGGGATGGCAAATTCCAGTATTTATGCACAGCAGGTGATTCCCCTGCCATTCTGTGGGTCACACATTGAGTTTAGACTATCCTGGACTGTGTGTCTTGCTCTCTGAAGGTTTACTGGCATAAAATTAAGTCCAAATACTCTAGTTTGTTTGGTTTTTTTGTGTCGGGAGCAGCTTGAGAAACTGCAAGTTGCTTCTGGTGTAAGAGAATTGGCCACTTGCAAGGACATTGGCCAGGGGACACCCTGATGTTTTGCCATCCCGTGGGAGGCTTATGTCCCCGCATTAGGAGCTAGATCTGACAATTGGGAGCTCACCCCACTCTCTGGATTTGAACCAGCGACCTTTCGGTCAGCAGTCCTGCCAGCACAAGGGTTTAACCCATTGCTCCATCGGGGGCTCAAGTACTCTAGGACTTGAATAATTCTCATAATACTTCTCCATAGAAGAGCCTATTCCAGCATTTATAATGAGATGCTAGTATGCAAACACATACAAGTACCTACTTGAGTAACTGCCCTGAAAAGTTAAAGACCTCGTGAAGTGTATCTGGAATGCATCGGAAGACAGTCTCATCCAGTGAATTTTCAAACCAAGTTTCAGGAAAGAATAGGATGCCTTGTTAGTGTTTATCTGGAAGTGTCTCACTCTGATAGGTCATCTGATAATGAGTTTCATGAAAGGGCAGCTAATGGTAGGATTTGTAGAGTTCATCTGCAATTTGTGTCCTGTTGGTAGAAGGGCAATCATCCCAGAAGGTGTCTCCATCTGATCTGAGGGGAATACCTTCCCTATTTAGCATTAAGAGCCTCCACCACAAAGGGGGCTGGTTGGAAAGTCTGGTTCCACTGCCATTAAATCTGTATCTGTGGTAATAAAGAGAAGAGTTGCTTGTGGAGTTTTTTTTGCCTCAGACAATAAAATTAAGATCCTCCAAATAATTTAACCAGCTTTACCTAATAAGCACATATAAGTAATGGCAGAGAGCAGAAATTTATAAGGTAGGGTGGACAAGTGTGGTCTTTCAGATGTTGGACAGCAGTTTCCCAGAAGTCCACACACCCAGGAAGGGTGAGGGATGCAAGGAATTGCAGTCCCACAACATCTAGGAAGCCACCTGTGATGTAACTGTTCCTCAGTAGAGTGTAAAGGGAGTCCATTTCTACAGTATGGATTCCCTTTACTAAGAAATGTATGACGCTGCTATGAAAAGATCCCTGTGAAAACAGAAATTTCGGAAACTATGGATCAAGGTGTGCCAAATCATCCATGTCCTTCAACTACCATTCCATAGTATAGCACAAGAACCTTTTATGTGCTCTAGCTCCTAAATCTCACCCAGAGCTGACATACACAGTAGATGCAGAGAAGGTGAGGCATATCAGGTTGAAAGAGAGTGGCTGGGCCAAGTTCATCCAGGGAATTTCTTGGTTTAGTGGAGACTTGAGGGCAGGCCTTCCACATCCTAGTCCATCGCTCGAATCATTGTGCCACACTGACATGCACTTTACTAGTATTGTTAAATATTTTGCTTTCCTTACAAAATCTTAGGGAGATATTATTCTCTATGACCCCACATCTTGAAGATGTTGTTACCCATCTAGTCTTTGTATTTGCAGGACCAGTACCAGTTTCATTTACTTGTGTCTGACAAAATATGTTCTCTCTAGGCATTTTCCCGGTCCTCCATGTGATTCTATGGTATGCCTCTGCTGGAAGTTAACTACAGAGTCACACTGGAGGACTTAGCAGTGCTCAGACAGGTATCCTCACTAGGTATTTCCTAGCTCTTCCACTTTCCTATGGTTTTATGTATCCACCTGTGCATTAACTGTGGATATAGGGGTCATACTAGATATGCAACTGTATGTCAGCATCTTATTTATTTCATTTTATAATATTGATGCATTCTGTTAGGTTAGTGTTTTATTCCTAGTTGATGCCAGAGAATTGGTAGAATGTATTCCACTTGCCATTTCTTGCCTGCTTCCTATCCACACGTTCCCGTTACTTCCTGCTTTATAGAATGATAGAGTTGGAAGGAACCAAAGTTCATCTTCTCCAACCTGCTGCCCAAAGGCAAAGCTGCCCAACCACCAACCCCTCACAGAGCAACCTTTGCTGTCCAGAACACTATGTGACACAAGCAGAGGGCAGAAGCACACAAGAAAGGTATGTTCAGGAAGTAGCTCTGTGTGGCATAGCTCTGCTTCTTGGTATGGTGATGTATGTGAGTTGTGAGGTGTGTTTCTGTACCAGTGCTACGTTTGTTTGCTTGACTGTTTGGGACATAGGAATGGGAATTGCTGGGGAGGGAGGAAGGCTGCAGCAACATCTACAGTATAGACTCTCTTCACCCAGAAATGTATGATATTGAATCAAGGATTAGGGGAGGGTTATGGCAGCTGTTACCAATGAGAACATGCAGCACTATGCGTATTAGCTATAACTTTAATGGAGTCATCCTAGCTGGGCACAGGGCTGTGCATCCTTTTAAAATTCAGACTAAAGCCCAGAATGAATTCAGTAGCCCACTGATGTGAAAATCAGTTGCCATCCATGGGTTGAGTGAACTTACAGAAATGATTCATAGTAGTTTATGTGAACCTTGATCTACTGGGTTCTGTCTAGACAGAAGGGTTTCATTTTGTATTCTGTTGCCAACCAAGATCAGCAGTGGGCCATAGAAACTGCCAAGTAGACAGAAAACTAAAGTGGAAGTAGGAGTAGGTGAGGAACCTAAACAAACTAAAGGCACCAGATCTCATCTCATATTGGAATCTAAGCAGGGTCAGCTCCAGTTAATACTTGGATGGGATACTGCTGACAAATGCTAGGTGTTGTAATCTATATTTCAGAGGGCGGAACTGGCAAAACAACCTCTGAGTATTCCTTGCTTTAGAAAACAGTTTGAAATTCATGAGGTCACCATATATCAACAGGCAACTTAAAGGCACACACATTATCAATTTCAAAAGGCTGAGGGGAGAGGGAAGTCTGAGATGAGGATGCTGAAGATCAAGGTGCTCTACAGTGAGGGAAAGAGATAGGACAGGAGTCCTGGCCCAAATGAAAATATTACTCAGTAAGTATCTGGTTGTTGCCCATGTGAAGAATAAACATGGCAGTGTACATAACTAACCCAGGGGAGAAATAACTCAAAAGCCACCTGGAAGATATGGGAAGAGAGCCTTTACGGGATATTGCCAGTCCCTTCTTTCATTCCCATCTCACCCAACACATTGTTCTGGTATCTCCTGAACGGAATCCTATTTGATTACGTCAATGGACTTATTGGTGAAACTCATCCCTGACTGTGATGATGATGATGATGATTTCTTGCCAGCCTCTCCTCACAGCTCAAGGCGGGTTGCAACATTGTAAAACACACATTCGCCTAAAAACATTCTTTAAAATACACATATTAAAACATATTTCCACAAGATACATATTAAAATACACAAAACAAGGATTAAGCATGAGGTGTAATTTTAAAATTCATCATTAGTGAAGGAATGGAGGCATGGACTGCTTTATCTGAAGCTGAATATCTCAAGTGATTCTCCTGACTTATAGTTTTATTTATTTGTTAAACATTATGAATTTGTTTATTTAAAAATAGTTTAAAACATTAGTTCTCAACTTTTTTTTTGACCAGGGACCACTTTGACCAGGGACCACTCTCCAACATTAGTATCAAAAGGGTTATGAATCAGTTTTTGGTCAGCTTTAGATTTGGTTTGGTTATTTGGGGTGCTGATTCAGAAAATTATGTTGAATAAACCACATCAGCTCTAGTTTCTGATACAGAACATATGCCATTCAGTAGTTACCATCTGCTCGCCCAAAGAAAACCATATTTAATAATCTATAGCTGATGTGATCTATCCAATGCAATTTTCTGAATCAGCCCCCCCAATAGCCCCAGGAACAGACTTAAAAACAAAGACACCAAGGTGCCCCCATTTCCAGGCACCACATGGAACGGCTCCACTCAGGAAGTAGGAGGAGGAGAAGCAGCAGAAACAGCAGTCAGGAGGCTTGTTGTTGCACCTTTTGGGGGTAGTTAGCCTCTCCTCTCCCAATATCCTCATTGTCTGGGCACTAAAAGAGAATTTTGCAAGACCAGTTGCTCACATTGCAATGATGTAGAATGGTGAGGCTGTGCACCATATTTCAGTTTTTGGGGACCACTGGTGGTCTATGGACCAGAGTTTGGGAACCACTGATATAAAAGCTTAATTCATGAGTGTTTCTTCATATGTTGGATTGCACCTCCCATTAGCCCTAACCATCACTTCTAACAAGGAGTGATGGGAGTTATAGACCAACAACATCTGGTGGACACACATACTTCAATGGAACGAAAGGATCACAGTTTAGCCTCAGAACAGAGTGAGTCCTTTTAGAAGAGTGAGAAGTCCTTTAGCTCCATTTAGGGTATATCTTTGTGGAGTCCAGAGCCTAAGCTACAGAAATGTGTGGCATGTTTACAAGAAAAGACCACAACAATAGAATGATCAAATTCCTTTATGCTTTAACCCACCCTTAATATTTAAATATATTCATCTTGTTGAATTTGTTTCCCAGGGAGCAATAATAAACCTCTTATTATTACCTGGGAAAGCTATGTTTAACAATACATGTAATTAGAGAAGAGAAGCTGCATTTAATATTACACAAGAGAACGGAACCCCTCATTCAAAAGGAAGCAGGCTTTCAGCTCTCCATAATTATAGCGCCTTCAAATGTCTAAAATATCTTAGATCTTGGTTTTAACTCCTTATTGTAAATTGTTTGGCTAGCATTGCTGGATCGGTTTCTCGTCTACCTTGAAGCCGTTAAAAGCAAACCATTACATTTGAGCTGCTGCAACTAACTGTAGAATTAAGTCATTAACTGGACCTGGTTTGCAAAAGCATCCATCAATCATCAGGCTTAACAATTAACCAGAAAAAAATGCCCAGGTCTGTTGCGACTTTTAAAAACGTAAAGCAACAAGAGGGTAATTTCAAAGCATGCAAGCAAATCCCACTAATAACTTGTAGGTTATTAGCAAAGCAATTAACAGCTGCTTTGCAAAAGACTGAGTGGTTGGCATTTATACTAAGTGGGTTGGGCTGAGAACAATATGTTCCATTAGTGGTGTTAACTCTTGAGCAAAATTCTGCTCAGAATACTTCTACTGGCAGAAAATTGTGTGATGTGATGTTTACCTGTTTTCTTTTTCATTGCAGTTCCCATCACTATCACTGCCTCCAGATTTTTGGGCTACAAAAGGATAATTGACAATAATTGTTGCCATCCCTTCCCATTCCTCTTGCACAGTGGTTCCCAAACTGGTCTGTGGACCACCAGTGGTCCGCAAGAACTAAAATATGGTCCACAGCCTCACCACCGCTGCTACACCATTGCAACGATAGCAACTGGTCTCGCAAAACGCTCTTATAGTGCTGAGGCAAAGGGGATGTTGGAAGGGGAGAGGCTGACTACTCACGAAAGGCGTGACAACAAGCCTCCTGACTGCTGCTTCTCCTCTTCCTCCTGAGCAGAGCGAGGACACCTTGTTGTCTTCATTTTTAGGCCTGTTCCTGGGGTTATTGGGGGTGCTGATTCAGAAAATTGCATTGGATGGACCGCATCAGCTCTAGATTATTAAATATGGTTTTTTATGGGCAAGCATATAGCAACTACTGGATGGCATATGTTCTGTGTCAGAAACTGGAGCTGATGTGGTCTATACAGTGCATTTTTTAAATCAGCACCCCAAATAATCAAACTGAATCTACAGTTGACCAAAAACTGATTCATAACCCTTTTGGTATTAATGTTGGAGAGTGGTTCCTGGTCAAAGTGGTTCCTGGTCAAAGAAAGGTTGGGAACCACTGTTCAAGCAGGATTCCTGTGCTGGGTCAGAAATGTCCCATGAATGATAGGAACCCTTCCAACTGTGGGATGCATACTCCCAAAAGTGTCCCCACTCCCAAAAGTGTTCTAACAGATGGCAGTTTTGTTTTTTGAACATACCTTAAAGAGAAAAATTTAGCCATTGTTTTTGACACACAACAATTGCAGTCAAGCATATTTTGCATAGGATCACCCCTGGAATTTGTGAAGGTATAGAGAAACTAGTGGCATTGAACAGGGATATGAAGCATTTCCCCATCAACTATGAAAAAGGTGTCTTGACACTAGAGAAGTCCTGGAAAGGGAAAGGAAAACAGCCAGGAATCTGGGGAAATGTATTTATCAAACAATATGCATGTTTTTTTCTGCTAAAAAATACATTTTGGAGATATTCTCCCAGATTATTTGCTAGTACCTAAATAACCTAAAGGCACCAGATCCCACCTGATCTTGGAAGCTAAGCAAGATCAGCCCTCATTACTATTTCAGTGGAAGACCATCAATGAATACCAGGTGCTGTAGGCTGCATATCAGAGGAAGAAACTGGCAAAACCACCTCTGAGCATGAATTGCCTAGGAAAACCCTATCAAATCCATGGAGTTACAACAAGCTGACAGTTGACCTGAAGGCACATATACACAGACTTCATTTTCTGCCCATTAGCAGCACTGCAGATGACCTGAGAGGGCAGAGCTTAGCTTCCAGTGCAGGAGACGCAAAGAGCCGATGAGGTTCTATTTAGTCCTAAGAAAGCTCCTGACTCCAGTTATTTGTCTCTGCTAGAATTTGGGACAGCAAGATGCCCTGCCTCTTTTCCATCTCAGATACATGCCTTGTTAATTCTTTCTTGACTTTGTGTCATCAACTATAACATCTGTATAGCCCCTAGGAATATTACTATTTATATTGTTATTACTGTAATTACCAAGTACCATTGGTGTCCAGCTGGAGAATACAAACTGAAACTTCACTGGGTTTAATGTATTGTCGAAGCTTTCATGGCTGGAATCACTGGGTTGTTATAGGTTTTTCGGGCTGGATGACCATGTTCTAGAAGCATTCTCTCCTGACGTTTTGCCTGCATCTATGGCAGGCATCATCGGAGGTTGTGAGAAGACCTTGGAAAATTACCAGAAACAGGGGAATACTGGGAACTTTAATCCAAGAAAGTAGCTCTTCCAACCTATGTGTTTGCAGCATTGGCTGCTGATTTTTAAAAACAAATAGACTGGTGCAAAGCATGAAACCAGACCCATTGTGTAACAAAGATGATTTCTGCAATTCTTTTTTCCTGCAGGCTACACTTGCTGAAGTTTCATCTTCTGTGTAACAAGAACCCTGTCCTCTACTTTGCTACATGGTTATTGTAGAAAAAAAGAATAACATGTGTGGTTGTCTCCCTTCTTACAGGTTGGGAATAGTCAGTGTATTGAAGCTTTGCATCAATATTGGGCAGCTGTCTGAGTTTGAGACATTAATCTTGCCTATCTGAATAACGTCATAGTCATCAGGATCATAGGTTGCACTTACAACTCAGTTGTAACTCTGCAGCGTCTACACCAGTGGTTCCCAGCATTTGGTCCTCCAGGTGTTTTGGGCTTTAACTCCCAGAAATCCAGCTGTTGGGAATTGTGGGAGCTGAAGTCCAAAATATGTGGAGTACTAAAGGTTGGGAACCACTGCTCTACACAGAACTATCCCATGTATCTGGGGGCAATGGATTAGGGCTATCCCGCTACTCCACTTCCTGACACTAAGCTTCCTAACAAAATAAATACAAGACTGTGCAGTGGTTAGGGAAGGCGTGGGCAAACTTCGGCTTTTCAGATGCTTTGGACTTCAACTCCCACAATGATAGGCTGTTAGGAATTGTGGGAGTTGAAGTCCAAAATACCTGGATGGCCAAAGCTTGCCCATGCCAGGGTTAGGGCATCCTACCATTTAGTGATTAAAGATGTTATTGCTGGCCCCGAATGCATGGATACATTTATATTAACATTAATTAATTAATTAATTTAACTATGTTATATTAATATTAATTAATTTATTTAACTACCAAAGAAGCCCAAGATGACAGTGCTAGGGGTCATTTCAATATAAATGCCATATTTCAGATTATTAGATTGCATAGCCTTAGAATGATGACTCTTGCTTTTCAGTGTGTAGTGATGTTGGTAGTTCTAGTAGTGGTAGTAAGATGAAGAGCACATTCATGGTTAGAAAGAAAACAGGGCCTAACTATTGCAACAGAAGGTTCGTCATCCTGAAGCTCAGCTATCAGAGATGTGGCATTGTTGCCGTGCTGCTTGGTAGCATCTGCAATTATATTAAACAAATCTAGGATTGAACATTAAATTGCTGAATATATTTACATTGGTTAGTGAGAGTACTATATAAATGAATATTCACTCAAACAATGGTTTGATTGTTTCTGCAGGATTTCAGGGAGCTAACAATAAAACTCTCCAAGCACTTGGCTAGGGTGCTCCTGTGATGTATAGAGAGATAAGATTCACAGATGTGATACACTGATTGTACGATGCTTATCTTGACAAGATGCTGGCCTTCCTATACATTTGTTCTGAATATAATTCTTATTCTTGTCCTTGAAACTGGGCATCCTTATTTATATTTATTCATATATACATAATAAGGTCTCCTTCTGATTTGATATGAAGATGCAAAATGTGACCAGTTTGAGAATTGAGCAGGTTTAGAGAGAGAGAGACTCAACCAATACTGTCAAAATAAATGGTAATGCTAGACCAAGGGTTCATTATGTTTCTATGTTTAGAGAATGCAGGAATGGGCCGGCATGTACACTTTCATATAGAGGAGGTCTAACAAAAAGATGGCCCTCCAAATGCATTAGAGTCCAACTCACATCAGATCCAGTCATCATGGTAGATGAACAGAGATGATTGGGGAGTGGTAGTATTGAAAATTAGGGAAGGCTGTAGGTTTCCCACTCTTGATTGGGCACATACTGGCGTGTATTCTAACACATATTTACTCTTCCCTCATGACCCATCTAGAGTTGTGTTTGTGTGCAAGCAAATATGTGTGATAGATGGACTGTGTGGATGGCGTATGTATGTTGAAGCACATGCTTGTGAGGCAGCATGCTTAATCCTTAGGCATGATATTGTGTGTCACTGCATGAAGACTGAGCTATAAAGTTTCCCAAAGTATTTATTTCTATGTTCATTCTAGTCAAAGTTATGGTAAAACTGGATGTGTTTTAGAACAACAATTCCTAAACTTTGATTTCAAATCCCAATCAGTATGACCAATAGTAATACATTCTGGGATTTGAAATCCAACATTTGAATATCTGAGTTTGGCCTAATGGGTGATCTAGAACTATGGAGACCACCTGTTTAATATCATGGTGTAACATGGGCAAACGACACACTCTTGGTTTCAGTTCCCCATGACTGCACCCCACAAAACCTTTGTCAGAACAAGCTGAGGTAATGAACAAAAAACTTTCTTCACACAGTAAAGTATTATGTCATTTGGTTATTATGTGACATGGCTTATAATTTTATGTGATGAGGATTGAGAGTTGTTCTGAGAAACAGAAAGCCTAGAGAAATAAATAGCCAATCTGTAATATGGGTGACACAGTTTGGTGTAGATGCAAGATGCTGAGGACATTATGTGTCCTGGGGAAAGACTGTATCTCAGTGGTGTATTACATCTGCTTTGTATGCTTAGGAATTGTGGGAGTTGAARTCCAAAAACATGGATGGCCAAAGCTTGCCCATGCCTGKGTTAGGGCATCCTAATATTTAGTGACTAAAGATCTTATTGCAGGCCCCCAATGCATGGATACATCTAGGAGGCCTGATGGACCATGCACAATAACTGAAGTTTAAATTTAGAGGTGCTGGAGAACCTAGATTTGGTTCTCCAGCACCTCCAGGTCAGTCTGGGAAAGGCTGACATCACGTCTGCAGTCCAGGAGAGCTTTTGCCAATGGCACCTATTGCTTCCATGTTAGTGGGGTAGTGGATGTGCTCAGGGTTCAGTCTGAACATTAAAGGAGGCATCTCAGGCTTGGGCAAACTTCAGCCCTCCAGGCRTTTTGGACTTCAACTCCCACAATTCCTAACAAACTGTTRGGAATTTTGGGAGCTGAAGTACAAAACACTTGAAGGACTGAAGTTTGCCTAAGCCTGAGATATCTGAAAAAAATGGATTCTTATTTGGGAAGGTAAGGTTTGGCACTTTGAATAGTTCCTTCAAAGCAGTGGTTCTCAAACTGTGCTCCTCCAGGTATTTTGGACTTTACCTCCCAGAAATCACAGCCAGCTTACCAGCTGTTAGGAATTGTGGGAGCTGAAGTCCAAAACATCTGGAGGACACACAGTTTGAGAACCACTGCTTTAAAATATGGAGTGGATTCATTGACTTATTGATATAAGAGTCACCACCTGACAACTGTTTCCAAGCCATGGAGACATTCCTGACCTAAAGGGACCAGTGGCCTTACATGGGACAAAGCGGCTGCCTGTATTCTTGGTTTTTAGCCATGTCTGTGCTGCAGAGAAGTCACACTGTGATCTACAAACCCAATGTAAATGGGCTACAAGAAAGGTTGGCAAAACCTGTACTTCTGAACATATTGAATTTTAGTACTGAACCAGCAAGAATTTCACATAATAATGACCAAACAAACAAACATTCTAATAATAAAGCCTCATGCAAATGTATTCTCTGCTGAAGTGCTACTCAAGTGGTGGTCTATGGACTAGTGATTGTTCCCCAAGCTATTGGCTACTGGTCATTGGCTGCAGTTTCCAAAAAGAAAGAAAGAACTAGAGACAATGAATACAAACAGTGGTTCTCAACCTGTGGGTCCCCAAATATTTTGGTATTCAACTCCCAGAAATCCTAACAGGTGGTAAACTGGCCAAAACACCTGGGGACCCACAGGTTGAAAACATCTGTACTGGGCCCTGGCACACTGAAAGAAAGTAACTACTGGTTCCCACATCAAATAACCTGCATTACAGATTATTGGGCAAACCAATCAGTCAGCAAACAAACCTGAATATAACCATGATGGTGTTTCCAGTGGGGTGAGAAAAATAACTGTCCCAAATTGAGAGCTATAGATGCCTTGTACCTTGACATGTTCAAGGCCTCATACTAAGTTCTTGCCAAAGGAAGCATGAAAAAGCAGCCATTCCTTTCCATATATCCTCCATTTGATTGTTTGCTCTTAAAAGACGTATTTTTGGACCGAAGTACATTTCTGTGCTCTTACACTTTCCCCCTTTTTCCTTCTTCTTTCTTTTATGCATTGCCTCTTACTTCTCAGCATTGGAAAGCTCTGTTTGATCAGGTACGTGAATAATTCAGACGTTTATACTCTAACACCTTTTAACAATGGAAATCTATTGACGTTTATTTTCATCTGTGTCTTATAACACGTAACTGATAAGTTGTTGGTATCATGTTGCTATGGTTTCACTAGCTTTGGGTGTGCTCTCAACTATCAGTCTTATCTTTACACATTCTTAACTAAGTTATTTTAGTCCATTGATTGAGACCCTACAACACACAAAGCAAGGAGATTAGTGTGATCCAATGTGTGTTTTGCCCTTTGCTTAGACAGTCACAGCGACAGAACTGTCAGTGCCTCAGAATGAAGTCCACCTTCTTTCCCTTTGTGTTAGGTTCCCAGGAAAGGTGCACTTGTGCCAAAATTACCTTGACCTTATTGGTATTTTGTACCTACAAGTTGTTTCTGACTTGTTGTGACCATAGGGGGAACCTATCATAGTGTTTTCTTGGCAAGATTTGTTCAGATGGGAGCAGTCAAGCCACTTTCAGCTGCTGGCATGCTCGCTTATCCATAGTAAGCCAGTATTGCTCAGTATTTTTGTTTTACGGCATGGAGTGGCCCATTTAGTCACAATGTGACAAGAAGATTTCACTTCTGTGCATCCATGGTAAGGTCTCTTTATTCACCAGAGGCTACAGGATGTCAAGGACCCAGCAGATTCAGGAAGGCCTTTGGGGCTCAGTTTTGAAATTAGGTCAGCATTTAGCATTTAGGCTAAAGCATTTAGCAGTTTAGCATTTAGGTTAAAAATTAAAAGTCCAAACATTTTCTGGTAAAACAACCATGTGCTTCTGGCCATGTCTGAGGGGATGGAGAAGTCAAAACATTTGATATTGGTTGTACTCAGAACCTCTTAGGATGCCTGCCACAGATGTGGGCAAAACGTCAGAAGAGAATGCTTCTGAAACATGGCCATACTGCCCAGAAAACGCACAGCAACCCATTTGATATTGGCTTCCAAAATCCACCAGTGCCATTTTAAAGTATTTTTTGCTGATTTACTCCAGCCAAGGAGCATGATCCTTCGTTTTGAAGGAAATGTACTGTTGTTTAGCATCTTCTAAGAGCATCCAATGCAACAGAAACATCCACTACATGCATCTTGATATTCTGCACTGGTCCTGTTTGAGGCACTTTTCTTGGGATCTGAATTATGACAGATTTAGTGCTTCTGATGATTTTGCTTGTTGATTAATGCTGCTTTCTGTGTTTTCATGTCAAACTCAATGACAATATTTTTTTAAAAAAAACAGCAAGTAGGCTGGGTCAGCTGATGTTGGTTCAGAGTTCTGTTGCCAGTTATGTTTTGCTTATTTGCTTTGATAGATTCAATTGTGCATTCTGTTTAATGTGTTTCACCTGTGGATCTGAAGGTGTGCCACAGTTTGCAAGCATTCAAGTGGTATTTGTGGGTGTTTTCACACATGGATATTAAAATGCATATGTGAGGGAAAGTAACATTTTGAAGTTGAAATTCTTCTGATTAACTTTTTAAAAAAGCTTTCTATTTGCCTTTAAAAATAGGAAAGTATATTTGGAAGGAACATAGGGAGGGCTGTTCATGAGTGGATACATTTCCCCTGTGACTCAGTTTTGGCATACAGCATTAATATGATTTGTCTATTTCTGTGTGAGTGTCAATATATTCCTTTATGCAAGTACACCATTGTATTACTTTTCTTGGCCCTGATGACAGGAGCATCTGAAGCTTTACAAGCCAATATAACAATTTAAGGTTCCCGTGTGGTTCAAACTACAGTTGGAACGTCTTGCCCTGTGAATGAGCGGCTCCCCTTGTCCCAGAGATGGCTTATTATCATTCCCTCAGTAATCTTCCTGCTCATGGCGAAGAGTGTCTGTTTATAACCTAGTAAGCTGGGCTCTATATTTAGCCCATAAATCTGGGGTGAGCAGTGTTCCTCATTGTGCACAGTTTGCATCTGGGGTGAGGTGGGATCATGGGGACATATTGCTGTAATGACAAGTCAGATGAGCCAATTTTGTAATGTATTGTGGCAAATTGCTCTCATTTTTGTTTGTAATTAATCGTTTTCTTGTGAGGTGGAGAAAGGAGTGGCGATTCTGCTTCAGTCTATCTTGACATGCTGAATTCCCCGCCTTTCCAAAGGCCTTGGGGAATTCCAGGAATGGTAGTCTACAACAAAACAGTAACTTTCCCAAGTTTCAATGGGAAGAGAATGGAAACTGGGCCTTTGAGAAGGTGTGTCATATGGTATGTGTATTTAAAAGCTCAGCTCCCTTTGTTCCAAGAGAATTCATTAAGTAGCACGGAGAGAGAGGAGGGCATATTAGCTAGGAGCAGGAACCGGGGTCCAATGCTGCTTGATTCATGCCCCCCCCCCCCCCGGTGCCCTGATTGCCAAGCCCCCTTCCCTTTTCTGCTTCTGAGATCCTAAATAGGCAAAAAGCCGCAATGTGCTGCCTTCTGCTAAGACATTTCCCAGCTGAGGCCTCAACAGTTGTATTGGTGAGTCAAAAGAACACGGACTCCTTGAGTATGACACAAAGATAAGTATTTGCCTGCTCTCCACTTCTTTGCCAGTTTTGTGTTCTTTCTCTTCCTTGTGATGGCTTTGGAGAGAGTTTGTCTTTCCTCCACTTCCCCAAAGTAATGCTTGTGAGAGGAGGTGAATGTCAGGTTATCCAAGCCCAAAATTGATAGCATGGGAGCCTATTCAGAACCGAAGGGGACTTAACTTTCCCTTTTCTCTAGGAGGAGGTGGAAGAGTAATTTCTACAAGTTCTGTAATGGGCTGCTATTCAGATCTTTTTGAATACACTCTCAGGTTCCTTCAGCAATCATGCTTTCCAAAATAATTATTAATTTTCAACATTCTTCTTCTTTCATGAAAAAGACAATCCTGCTGGCAGCAGTTGGCAGTGCCCAAGTACTCACCCATACACCCAGTGGGCAGGTAAAAGACACTGTATGAAGAGGGAATCAAGCTCAAAGGATTCCTAACATTTTGTTGTCAGATGGTTCATGCTAGGATGGGAAGCTGAATTTACACAGTTCCCCCATTTATACAACCCAGTGTAATCAGTGGAACTTAAAGCTGTACGGCTGAAATGCAGTCCATGGATCTGATTTTTGCCAGTGAAAGGGCTGGTGGTTGATACCTAACTGTGCAAATTTCAGTTTTTGGTAGTGAGACAGACAAGATTAGACATGTAATCCAGGCAGCTCACTAGTACTGGCTAAGAACTGACTAATGTGCAGTTGGAATGTACTACTAGGTAGCTGACATCTGGAAAATTAACACCTCCTGAGATGGGAGTCAGTGCTGAAATTTAATCTGTCTCTGGGGCATTGTTTCCAAAGAGAGCTCAGCTCTTGAAAACTAGACCCTATTTTTTTAGTGAATTCACATAGCTTTTATTGCCTGCAGGCAAAAGTAGATGTACTTCTTTTAGATATTAGCAGCTGAGGTAGAAAACTCATGGGATTTGCTCTATGCAATGAAATACTGTTTGTTATAACTAAAAATGTACACTTCCTTGTGGAGTTGCTGACATCAGCCTTTGGTATGTCCTTATTTAACACATTGGTGTCCCACTGTCGAAGCCTGGCATGAAGGCATTTCTCTACTTTTATTCTTGTACAACCCTGTGAGCTGGAATAGGTTAGTAACTGTTCTCATAGGAAGCCATTGTAGAGAAACCAGGAACTGTGCCAAGGAACCCAAGCTGACAGACACATCACAGCCAGAAGAACTGCGATTATTTTAGCAACATCCTAGGCCAGGCAGGGAGTCAGGTGTAGCCCTTTATATATGCCAATAGTCATCTTGAGGGGACAAGACCATGCCAAAGTCAGAGCCAAATCAGTGGTTCACAAAACAGGGAAGTCGTGCACAGAGCCAAGAATTGCTGGTTCAAGCTACATCCGCTCCTGCTCCACTTACTGCCTCCTACACAAAAATCATTTTTGAAATGGTATGGTGAAAATCATACAAACACATGAATCTGCCTGCGCTGAGACATCATTTGGTTGCAACATTGCAGTTCCCTTGAAATAGAAATGTCAGAGACTGAGGCTGGGACTACTTATAGACTTCCTCTGTCTTATTGTGCCATGATTACAAGTGAGAGCTGCCTGTGGGCACAACCAATGCCTAATAAGGCACTTGGTATTGTGAAATTGGTGTTGCAGGACCTTGGACAGCTCCAAGCAGACAGCTCACTTTGGGCCTTCCAGACAGGCAAAATACCCAAGAGGAACTGGGATTTTAAATCCCACTTCCTCTTGGGATAGAGGCCATACATCTGGCCTAAACTCCAGGATTTTGATGGGGTGGGGGGGATGTCCAGATATTCACCCCTGCTGATCTCGGATCAGCAGGGGTGGGCATTGTGCTACCAGCCTCCCCCTCCCTTCCTCTCATTTTCCCCTGCACTTACTTGGAGAAAACTTCACTTGGACAAGCCCTGAACCCCCCGCTCCTTTGGAAGAGCAGAAGGAGGACTTTGGGTAGGGAAGGGGGATTCCTGCTTCAAGGCTGGATCTTCTGTTGGAGGAAGAAAGGCAAAGGCTGCAGGCCTGCATGGAAGGCTTCCTCCGGTAAATTGAGAGAGAAATGGAGGGCAGGAGAGAGTCCAGAAAGGGAAGAAGGAAGTAACACACACGTTTTCCATGCCTGCGAGTTTACACAGGCATAGAAAAATGTATGTTTTCAGGAAGAACTGGGTTTAAAGGGCAACTTTTAAACACGTGTTTTCCAGACTTTAACGCAATTCCGCCTGCATTTTGGCTAAACCTCCCCTTTAACCCGGTTTAACTTGGGTTATAATGCATGTGTGAAAGGGCCCTTTGGAAAAACCTGGAACACAATGAAGACCTTCAGGCCAGCTTGGACCAGAGTGCCAGTTTCTGCACAGTGAAGAAACTTAAAGTGCTAGTTCTTAGGCTTGGAGCTTAGCATTCTGTTGCCTCTCAGTCAGCTCCTCCCTCATCCCTTGCTGGTGCCTATGAACAG